CTTCCTCACCGTTTCAATTTCTACTTTCCTCTGTCTTACTGCTGTGTCACAAATGGGACTGCTGCCAACCACTCTGGTGTGTCGGCCGGGAGGCGGCAGTTTTAAGAAGGGTTGGCCGCTCAGCCTCACAGGGGGACCCCCATCTTATGCTGCAGTGAAGTACTACAGACTGGGTGGCTTATATACAACACGTTTATTTCTCACGATTTTGGAGGCGAGAAGTCCAAGATCCAGCGGGCAGCATGGTCAGGTTCTGGTGCAGGACTTCTCCCGGGCTGCAGCCGCCACCTTCTCCATGTCCCCACATGATGTAAACAGGGCTAGAGCACTCTCGGGGTCTCTTTTATAAGGGCACTGGTCCCATGATGAGGACCCCGCCTGTGACCCACTTTCCTCTCAAGGCCCCCCACCTCCCATCACACTGAGGGGTACAATCTCAGCACTGGAATTTTGGAGGACACAAACACTCAGGCCATGCCACAGTCTTTAGAAGAATCCCAGAATGACTAGTCAGGCTCCTGGGAGATCCGTAACTGTGGGAAAGCGTCACACCCCAGGGAAGGTCACTGGCTGGGAGAGCCATCCCAGAAAAGGCCTGCTCCCTTCACACTGACCTCTGTGGAGAAGTCGGCTTGGCACGTGCTTTCTCCTCCACTGCAGAGTTAAATGCGAGAAGGTAGAAACCCAGAGGCCGTGCTGGCGCTGAGAGATGAGCCCCACTCACCAGATTCAAGGTCCCAACGTAGGCAGACACCGGGCAAGCAGTCTCCCATTCCGGGAGTTTGGAACTTAAATAGAGCCATAGAGATGCTCAGACCTGATCCAAGTGAGCGCATTCAGTGACATTTCCTAGAGGGTCCTGACACCTTCATCTGCACCTGGGGCTGCCCCAGGTTCTGTGCTGCCAGTCACAGTGCACAGGTGCTGCTGAGCTCCTCTAAACCATGAACTAACAAGTGAGTTGAGGGAGGGATGCCGCCAGCTGTGTGGACCTGGCCCATGGGGGAGGCCGGGGTGGAGGTCAGCCCGGGAGTCTGCACACCTGCAGCTTGTTTCCGCCACGCAGATGGGCACAGGTGAAAACCTTTACAAGTGCTGCAGACGTTGGCCAGGCCTTTAAATTCAGAGCAACCCGGAGAGGAGAAAGGAGAGTGGGTGGGGGTTCCGGCGTGGAAGATGGAGGTCCGATTGCCTGACTTAGCTTTGAAGCGGATCTTCTCTTTCCTGGACGTATTCAGCTTGCTGCAGGTTTCCCAGGTGAACAAGGTAAAGGCCCTCCACCTCCCACTGCCCCCCACGCCCGCTGCCTCTCCCACCAGTTTGACTACACTGCAGAATAGCAGGAGGATACACGGAGGGTGTGGGGTTAGCATCCTTCACTCTGAGGGCCTCATGTTCTGTTAAACAAGAAGGACAAGCTGACATCCAGGAGCTGCCTGATTAAACCGTCCTTGAGGCTCCCATTTCAAGCCCTAGGAAATCAGCACTTCTTCCTCTGAACTCATGGGAATACCACGTGCCTGTATTAGCCATGATAGGTCTCTGTTCCCGTTTCCTCATCTCTCCACACTGGGAGGGCTTTGCAAGCTGGAATCCCACCTGAGTAACTGTGCGGGTCGGGCTCCCAGAACACATAACAGCAGAGCATTGCCTCTGCTCTCTGATGGAACTGATTGCCTGCTTGTCTCTTCCTTTCTCTCCATAGGATTGGAATAGGGTTGCAGACAGCAATTACCTGTGGAGGTGAGTCATGGAAGGGAACGGGTAAGGAGGGAAGGGGAGAGGAGAGCGTCTGACTGTACCCATGCTGTGTACCGAGGCCCGTGTGTGGCTGTGTTGTGAGAGGCACACAGGAAAGTGAGTGTGAGTAGGGGGTTGTGATGTCACCAGGGCTCTGAGGAGGTGAACTGACTGAGCACAGCCTGATGGGATTGTGACTGTTTCCAGGGCACACTCTCTGCAGAGATGGGACTGCAGCAGCATCACCGATCGACACCTGGGCGCATTCACGTGGAAGCAATTGTTCCTGCACCAAAGAAGGAAGGAGCTTCGGTTGTCATTGGCACAGCCAGATAACTTTACCTACAAAATAACTAAGAACACTGGTATGGGGACAGGTGCCCTAGAGGAACATGAGCAACTTGTTTTCAGAAGTCCACTCTATTGGATTTTTGCTGTGTGAAGTTGTGTGTTCTCATTCAGTGAAGGGAAAGGGAATTAGAATTGAATCAGACTGGGCTGCCATGATAGCCACATGACAGCTCCCTGCTTCCTCTCTTGTCCCCACTGTCTCTGCTGAAAGAAGAAACTAGAGAGACCTTTTTTTACAACATAAAATCAGGTCCTGTTACCCCCTTTTTCCTAAGGCTTCCCATCCCTCCCAGAATAAAAATCAGAAACAAATATTAGTGTCAAACTCTTTAAAAAACAGACGCTTGGCAGAGCACAGTGGCTCATGCCTGTAATCCCAGAACTTTGGGAGGCCAAGGTGGGCAGATTGCTTGAGCCTAGGAGTTCCAGACCAACCTGGGTAACAAAGTGAGACCCCCATCTCTATACAAGATTAAGACAAATTAACCTGGGTGACAGAGCCAGGCACTGACTCTAAATAAATACATACATACAGAGGCTCTACAGCTGCAGCCTCAACTTCCTTGGCTCAAGAGATCCTCCTGCCTCAGCCTCCTGAGTAGCTGGGACTACAGGGGCGTACCACCACACCCAGCTAACTTTTTTTTTTTTTTGAGGTGGAGTCTGACTCTGTCCTCTAGGCTAGAGTGCAATGGCACCATCTTGGCTCACTCCACCTTCCATCTCCTAAGTTCAAGCAATATCCTGCCTCAGCCTCCTGAGTAGCTGAGACCACAGGTGTGTACCACCATGCCCGGCTATTTTTTATATTTTTAGTAGAGGTCAGGTTTCACCATATTGGCCAGGCTGGTCTTGAACTGCTGACCTCAAATGATCCACCAGCCTTGGCCTCCCAAAGTGCTGGGATTGCAGGCATAAGCCATCATGCCTGTTCATAACTTTTTGATTTTTTTATAGAGATTAGTTCTTTTTTTTTTTTTTTTTTTTTTTGAGACGGAGTTTCACTCATGTTACCCAGGCTGGAGCGCAATGGCGCGATCTCGGCTCACCGCAACCTCGACCTCCTGGGTTCAGACGATTCTCCTGCCTCAGCCTCTTGAGTAGCTGGAATTACAGGCGCCGGCCACCACGCCCAGCTAATTTTGTATTTTTAGTAGAGACAGGGTTTTACTATGTTGGTCAGGCTGGTCTCTAACTCCCAATCTCAGGTGATACACCCACCTCTGCCTCCCAAAGTGCTGAGATTACAGGTGTGAGCCATCACGCCTGGCCTGATGGAGACATTTTAATATGCATTTTATATCTGTGGAAACTGAGGATAAAAAGGAAAAGCCAGTTGGC